GCAGTCCCTGCAGAAGGACATCAGGGAGAGAGAGAAGACCCTCAATGAGATGCATTGAGTGGCCCTGTGGCTGCTCAAAGCCCGCGGCAGTTGCGTGAGGGGGGCAAGGCCAGCGAGAACGCCATCCTCTAGCACCTCGGGGTGATACAAGTTGGCACTGACTTGAGGGCACCTTACAAGACAATCATGCCAAAATGAGTGACTAGGTGGCGACTTTAAATGGTATGATCAGGGGATTCCTTTTTGAGGCCATAGCATGAATAAAGAGACATGAGCAGCATGAAGGAGCCTGCTGGGTGGCATGCAGAAGACAGAGCTGGGAGGCGTAGAGTCGGCGGTGGGAGCTGCATGTGCTGAGGAAAGGGAGGAGGAGACGTCCCAGGTGAGAAGTGGCGGCTGATGTGGGAGAGGCAGGCAGGACTAAGTTCTCCTGGCTTCTCAAACGTGGGGTTGATAGTAATAGAAAGTCCCTGGAGGGGAAAGATACAATTCAATCTTTTCCATGTTCCTTGTCTTTGCTATTCAAGCCCACAGAGCCAGGGCCTGGGGAAGGTTTCCAGTGGAACCAGAGAAGAAACAGGTGGAGTTGGTTGGGAGGCACCTGTGAAAGGTGGGGGTCATCGAAGGGATGGAGAAGTGAGTACATTCTAGATGTGCTTAGGAAGTGGAACCAGGTAGACTTGGTGGATGGGTTGTATATGAGGTGCGAGGGTAAGCAAGAACCAAGGAAGTCTTGGGCTTTGGAACTGAGCCATTTGGTGAGCCCCTCCCGCTGGGATATGGTGAAGTGGACTGAGTGGTGGGGAATGATTGGGGAGGCGTCTGGGGCTCTGTCTGGGCCAGGTTCAGCTTCCTCTGTTCATTCACCATCCACCTAGCAAGCAGTGGAGCATCACCAGGGAGAGTGGGCAGCTACAGAGAAGAAAGGTGCCCCATTCTATCGGTGCTGCACCTCAACATTCAGAGGCAGAGCAAGGAAGAGGCTTCTCCTAAGAAAGCTGAGAGAGAGAAGCCAGAAGGGAGGAGGGACTCCTGGAGAGCAGATTGTCAAGGAAACCAGGGGGTTGATGGCTTTGAAAATACCGATAATGATGACAATGCGATTATAGCAACCCCAATAGTCCCCCTACTGGCTTACAGACTGTTTCATTACCTGTCATTCCACATTTGTGACGATTGTAAACATCTACAATCTGATTGCTTTGCCCACTAATGATGTATTTGGGGCCACAAGGAATGCCCAGGCTGTAAGTCTGGCTCCGGTGGTTAAAGGTGTGGTCACGTTGGCTGGGTCACGAAGCTCAGTGGTTTGGCGTTATGCAGTGACATCATCTGACAGTCAGGCAGTGAGGCATTCGCCCTCTGCTCTGTGAGGGAATGTGGACATTCTGCAGAACACTGCTCTGCACACAGCAACCTGGCCGCTGGAACCTAAGCAAGTCAGTGTGTGAGGAGGGGAGGGTGTCCTGAGCAGGCCTGACACAGGTCTAAGAGTTTATGTGTATGAACTACCTTATTTAGCTTACCATAAGCTCACAAGGGAGATATTCTTCTTCTCCTCATCTTTATAGATGGGGCAACTCAAGCACAGAGAGGCTCCTTATAAAGTAGAACCGCTGGTCGCTCCAGCCCCCACGTTCATTGAATAAGCACGCCCAGCTCCCGCTTTCCATGCCCTACAAATCAACTCCCAGCCTCAAACAGGTCCTGACTGAGCTCTCCGGAGGTCCTGTCCTTTTTCTGCCCGGAACTTGGTTTATTAATCTCTTTGTCGGTTTCAATGCCCAGATCAGGGGAAGACTGCTAGCTTAGCTGACAGACATGCAGCTGCGGCTGTGGGGAGGAACTGCGTTTCCTATTAGTCTCTCTTCTCCAACACAAACCTTTTCCTCCACGCTCAGCCTCTCACCAGCTGCGAAACCAGCATACAGTCTTTGAGCTCTCTCGCCGCCCGGAAGGGTTCCAAATCCTTTCTCAAGACTTCATCCTGTCTCACCTCCTCCAAGGGGGCCTTCCCTGATAAACCCAACCCAACTCACCTCCCTGCCATTGCGTCCACACTGACGCAGAGCGACCCTCTAGGACAGGGTAGCCCTGCCCCTGTGGGTTTCCGAGACTACAACTGTTTAAGGGAGTAGAAAGCCCCATCTTTCTCCAAGGAGCTGCTGGTGGCTTCAAACTGCTGACTTTGCAGTGAGCAGCCCAGCGCATACGTAACCACTGCGCCAAGGACACCCATCTTCCCTTCTTGATTCCCGCAGACGTTGCTGTATCATAAGGGATTTTTATCCTTCATTCAGTCCAACTTTGCGCTTCATATTGGCAATGCCGTTGGGTCCTGTGACAGTTCACCGGCACAAACACTATCACCAAAGGGAAGAGGTAATATAAAGGGGAGGCATGTATCTCAGGGTGTCAGCAAAGGGGCAAGGAGGAAAAGAATGAAATTCGATGGGAGAACCGGGCCATCAAGGAGAGCCTGAAAGGAAGGGGCTTGGGGGTGGGTATGAACTGCATCAGATCCTGCAAGACCACTCCATCCCAGGCCATGTGGGACATGGTGCTGCGCCACCAGACATGTCCCTAGCTGGGGCCCTGGAGAGGTCAGGGTCATCAGTAAAGTGAACCCGACTGCAGTATCCCCCCTAAGCCAGTTCTTGTCTATCTTACTCAAACTGACTACCCAGGCTTGCATGTGGAACCTGCCCTAGCAATGGTCAATAGGACTCGAGTTGGATTCCCTTCACCAACTCCCCTGTCTGCTTGGAGTGTGAAGTTGGTGCACAAAAATACAAAGCTTTTCGTTTCACAACAATCAACAAGCAAGCTCATTTTCGGGAACACAGGTGAGAGAACACGGGGGAAAAGGTCAGCCGTGCTGAGGCGCAACCAGTTGTCAGTGAGGCGTAAGCACAGTGTAAGTGGCCAGATGAGTTACTGCCCTTATGGGGCCAACTGTCAGCAAGCTGGAGAAAGTTCTCTAAAAGGCAGAGTAGGCGACCTGGGGAGAAGCCTCGTGGAATTCACAAGCCTCTCCTATAGGCCCTACGTTCTTCCACTGAGTAGAGACAAATAAGACAAGTAGGGCACAGAGAGATTTTATATTACACCCTGCTCTGTGTACAGGCTCTTGTGGAATCATCCTCACACATACAGAGCCCCATGTAATCCATGCTCCACATATTTCTGAAGAATAGTCATTCATCCATCCATCCATCCATCCATCCATCATCCCTGACCCCAGGAGAATTTACTGAGCATCTTTCTTGTGCTGGCACTGGGGGCGGTGATTAGACTTCATCAGTGAACGAACCTGACACAGGTCTCTGAGCATGTGGAGCCTACCTTCAAGTGACAGAACTCACACCGTACACTCCAACACGAGAAATACACAAGTGATATTGGATGCTAAAGGTAATTAGAGTAACATCTTTCACAAGAGACTGTCCCCAAATGCACACTATCCTTAAAACTGCACTATGGTACCCAACCTCGGTGTGTGAGTTATCTATGATCGCATCAGAAGTCTCGAAGAACCAAGTTGACACACTCTTCACTTCTCCCTTATTCCACTAAGCCTCTTTCTTTGTCCCCCGCCTCCCAGAACTAGACGCAGGCAAGGCAACTAGTCACATCTGTTGCAGTGAGGCACAGACTCTGACTCAACAGCAGGGCTACACATCTCTCTCAAGCTATTGTGTTTCTCCTTTATCTGCTTGGTAGCCCCCTGGAGTGCCATATCCAGAAGTCCTCCCCTCTGTCAGATGTGGAAATGTGGTTAAAGAAGGAGCCTAGGGACCAGGGTCTAAAGCTGAAAGAAAGAAAATCCCATTCCTGTTTTGATTGCCCCTGCCCCTCTTTAGATTTCCTAGGACCCTCTGCCCATCACCCTCAAGACCTCCCTCTCCTGGTTCCTTCTTGACCTAGCAGGAAAGATAGGAGCTTAGGCAAACGCCATGTGACTGTTCTAAAATCTGCCATATAGAAGGTCTGAGAAGGCTTTGATTTCATCTGATTTCCAGTGCATGTTTGTCCACTCAGTAATGTGTCCCTGTGTCTGTGGGGGGAGGTCAGATGCTCACAGACATCCTCCCTGAAGACAGTCAGTCACCAGGGAGTAGGCCCTGCTCCCTGCTGCTGGGGTCAATGGATGACTTCTCCCTACTGCTTGCAACCATTAGCTTGGTTCCTGTAGGTAATGGTTCCTATGGAGATCCAGAGAACAGATCACACTCGCTCTGTGAATCTAGGATC